CCACCACCACCACACCACCTACTACCACCAGCACCACCACCACCACCACCACACCACCACCACCACCACCACCACCACCACCACCACCACCACCACCACCACCACCACCACCACCACCACCACCACCACCACCACCACCACCACCACCACCACCACCACCACCACCACCACCACCACCACCACCACCACCACCACCACCACCACCACCACCACCACCACCACCACCACCACCACCACCACCACACAACCACGCACACACGCACGCACGCACGCACGTGCACCACCACCCACTACGCACGCGCGCGCGGAGCCACAGGTCCGCTACGACACGCGTCCGCGGATAGAGAAAATCAGCGCCATGGTAAGGGATGGGAGGGAGGGGTAGGACGTCAGATATGACGCGAGCGCACCTAGCTTGTCCTCCTCCTCCTCCTCCTCCTCCTCCTCCTCCTCCTCCTCCTGCCTCCCTCCTCCTCCTCCTCCTCCCTCCTCCCTCCTCCTCCTCCTCCTCCTCCTCCTCCTCCTCCTGCTCTCCTTCTCCTCCTCCTCCTCTCTCTCTCCTCCCCTCCCTCCTCCTCCTCCTCCTCCCTTCCTCCTCCCCTCCTCCTCCCTCCTCCCTCCTCCTCCTCTCCTCCTCCTCCTCCTCCTCCTCCTCCTCCTCCCCTCCTCCTCCTCCTCCTTACTCCTCCTCATCCTCCTCCTCCTCCTCCTCCCTCCTCCTCCTCCTCCTCCACTCCTCCTCTCCTCCCTCGCGGGGGGGGCCTTCGAGGGCCCGGGGCGCCCGCCGTGGCCAGGCACGCTTCGCTCTCTCTCCCCCGAGCGGGGGGGGGGGGGCTGCGCGGTGCGAGTGGCCGGCCCGCGGGCGGAGGTCTGCAGCCGTGGCGGTCCTCGCCTGCCCGCTCGTGCCGGGCCCCGCCCTGCAGCTCATCATTACCAGCCTCGAACTTCTCCCTATCCCTAAGATTGACACGCCAAAAGGCGATGACAATCTTAGGGATGCGCCCTCAAAAAGTAAGGGAATCCCTAAGATTGGCATCGTGATGAGGAGATGCCCAGCATAGGGATATGGATATGTTCCAGGCTGGTAACATCAAGGAATGGCGACGCGTCCTCGCTCGCCTCGCTCGCCAATAGTCCCCCCAGGCAATGTTCTAAGAGCCTTTTGTGGTCTGCAGGGGATGTTCTCAGAACATTTCTGGTTGCCCAGATATCTTTTCCGTTGCAATTTAATTGCATCCGTTCCCATGATGCAATTATTGGGTCAAGTCGCAATTTTCGCGTACGATGTTGGCGTGCCGCAATTTTTCTTGTCATTTAGCAATGTTTCTAGAAACGTCGCACTTTTATGTATTTTCGGTACCACGTCGTCGTTAGCCTGGAAATATCGGGCACCACGTGACCGCGTCGCGTGGATGCGCGGCTTGCGCGGCGTCCACGCCCGACGCACACGCACACCCGTGTATGCGTACATGAGTATACACATATGCATATATATATATATATATGTATATATATATGTATATATACACCCACACACACATATATATATATACATACATACATATGTATACATGCATGTATGAATATATGTACCTATACATATGCATGATACCATCTTGTTTTGGCACATCGGGCTAATGCTCTAAGACAAGTGTTTTCGTTATGAGAACATTTTGGGGTTCTAGGAACATCTCGTGGTAGGCCTGCCGGGACGGTCGGTCCCTGCTCAAAGCATGCCCGCCTCCTCCTGCAGCTCCCTCCAGGCTTCGCCCCGGCGTGAGGGAGCGAGGATACGGCTTGAGGCGCGTGGGTCAGCGAGGCGCCCCGCTCCCGTACGAGTCAGGCGCGGCCCGTCGCCAAATCAAATTTGGCGGCGACGGCTGCTTGTTTCGCCCCGATCCGTACTCTATGCCAGTGTGTGCCCGACGGGCGCTTGCTAGGCCGCCCGAATGGCGTCGAAGCAGATGGGTTCTGTGGGTCGCGCAGTATCGCTGGTGCATCGGCGGTATGGCTCGATTGGGAGCCTGGTGTTCTCCATCCCAGCGTCGCCGCTGCGGCGCGATCCTCCGCCCGCATCTGCTCGGACGCCATTGCGGCGGCCTCCGCTCTTGCTGCTTTCTGCTGCCTCCCGTTCCGCCTGGCAATCTCCTCAAAATCCACACCCCTAGATTCGTCCTGCGGTGAGTTCTGGCAAGGGTCTCGAGGGAAACCCGGCCGTGTCGACAAGGGTAACCCCCGAGAGGCACCAAAAGGCACCCCCAACGGCCAGAAACCTTGATCCTCGAAGGAAGTGGAGGAGGAGGATGAGAAGAAGGAGACGGTGGAGGGGGAGGGGAAGGAGGAGGAGGAGGAGGAGGAGGAGGAGATGAAGACGAGGAGGATCATACTGATGATGCTGCTGCTTACGATGAAGATGATGATAATGATGAAGCTGAGGACGATGCTGATACTGAGGATGACGATAAAATTGCTGCTGATGATGATGAGGATGACGATGGCGATGATGCTGCTGATGATGGTGATGACGATGATGATGAGGATGAGGATGAACATGCGCGGTTCCTGAAAGACACGGATTCGAGCCAGGACCAACACAAGTTCAGCACGCCGGGGAAGTATGTAGAAGGAGTAGGAGGAGGAAGATGAGGAGGAGGTGGAGGAGGAGGAGAAGGAGAAGGAGACGGTGGAGGGGGAGAGGGACGAGGAGGAGGAGGAGGATGAGGAGGAGATGAAGACGATGATATTCCTAATGATGATGCTGCTGATGATACAGATGATGATACTGATGAAGATGATGATGCTGCTGATACTGATGATGACGATAAAGTTGCTGCTGGTGATGATGCGGATGGCGATGGTGATGATGATGCTGATGATGCTGAGGGTGAGGATGAATCTGCTGCTGCAGCTGCTGATGTCGATGATGCTAATGCTCACGATGATGCTGGTGATGATGATGATGATGATGATGATGATGCTGATGATGATGATGATGATGATGATGATGATGTGATAATGCGGCTGATGATGCTGTTGCTGATGATGAGGCTGATGCTGATGTCGACGATGCTGCTGATACTGCTGATGATGCTGGTAATGATGATGGTGATGCCGAAGCACAAGAAGATGAGGATGAGGAGGAGGAGGAGGAGGAGGAGGAGGAGGAGGAGGAGGAGGAGGAAGGAACTGCATGCCCAGGCCACAGAGGGGTGGGAGAAGGGTTTCCGCGCTTTTCGCTTCTGGTCATTGGGTTTGCCACCGCAGCCGTGGACCAGTGGCCCCACGATGGTCGATGCTTGATGCGAGCCTGGGCACTCAGCCAGCCTCGATCATGCTCCCCTCCTCCTCGAAGCGGGTGCTGTGGTTGTGGGGTTGGACGGTTCGGGATGGCTTTTTTCTTTTGACCCTACAGTCAAGCTGCATAGTAAGGATGAGCACCATTCGAAGATTTCCCTTGCACCTTTCCCGTTCGGCCCTTCGCTGGCTGTTTTCACTGGCCGCGCCCCGCCCGCAAAGTGTCGACATGGCCTTCCAATGCCCTTACAGTCAGCGCGCAAAGTATGAATGGACAACCTTCCCAAGGGTACCCTTGCTGCATCCTTGCCTCCTCGGTCCATCCTTGGCCACTGTCGTTGGCCGCGCCCCGCTCGACACACTTCGAAATTGGCGTCCAATGTCCTTGCATCCTTATCCCGCATCCTTATGATACGGGCCGACTGTAATCCGTATCGTGCGTCCTTCTTCTACGTGTTGATTGTACAGGCGGCGCGGGTGGGGATTCTCCGTAATTCTCGACGCTTCGCGTATCCCCACCAGCCCATCCCAAAACAGTAATTGTTGCGAAGCATACCTACTGTCGTGGTTTTCGCGCGTACCTCCTTTTGCCATCGCTTGTCTCCTCTTGTTCCTCTCAACTCCTACGTGCTTCCGTTTACTTCCTCAGTGTGGGAGGAGTGGGGGGAGGAAGCGGAAGAGAAAGCGGTGGGATGAGAGAGTAACATAGCGGCGACGACGACGACGGTGACGACGACGACGGCGACGACCACGACACCGACGACGCATCCGACGACGACGAATACGACGACCACGAAGACGACGCCGATGGCGACGACGAAGGAGGAGGGGGAGGAGACAGAAACAGGGCGAACATAAGAGCCATGCGCCTTTTGACTTACTCTGGGAGTCTCCTCTGGTTTCTTTTGGATGTGCAACGGAGGAGGAGGGGGAGGAGGAATATGAGGAGGAGGAGTAGGAGGAGGAGAAGGCTACTCCCGAATGTTCCCGAGAGTAATCACGCATCATGCCCGCCAACACGGGTGTGTGACTGGCGCAATGTCGCAACGCTAACACATGATTGCCGCCAAATGTTTGACCCGACGCTCTGCTGACACTCGAGTTTGAGTTGGTTGGCCTCGGTCCCTGCTGGCATTCGCCCATCGCATAAGTTGTCCTTTCGTGAAGGAGCTCGCTGGTGCCAACTCTGCCAGGCCATGGTTTGCCACCGTCAAACTGATCGTGATGGTTCCTGGGGCAGAGGGGGTGATCGCTGCACTCGCAGCGGGAAGCCCTCCCCCCAGTGTGTTCGGCATGGCCAGAACCGCCGCTGCCTAGTTTTTCGGTTTCGGCGTGCCCGCCCCTGGGTATCTCAGGAGGAGGAGGAGGAGGAGGAGGAGGAGGAGGAGGAGGAGGATGAGGAGGAGGCGGAGGCGGAGGATGAGGGAGGAGGAGGAGGAGTGAGGAGGAGGAGGAGGAGGAGGACGAGGAGCAGGAGAGGGGAGGAGCAGGAGTAGGAGGAGGAGGAGGAGGGGAGGAGGAGGAGGAGGAGGAGGAGGAGGAGGAGGAGGAGGAGGAGGAGGCGGAGGAGGAGGAGGAGGAGGAGGAGGAGGAGGAGGAGGAGGAGTGGGAGGAGTGGAGGAGTGGCGGAGTGGGAGGAGTGGGAGGAGTGGGAGGAGGAGGAGGATGAGGAGGAGGAGGAGGCGGAGGAGGAAGGAGGAGGAGGAGGAGGAGGAGGAGGAGGCGGAGGAGGAGGAGGAGAGGAGCAGGAGGAGGACAGGAGGAGGAGGAGGAAGAGGAGGAGGAGGAGGAGGAGGAGGAGGAGGAGGAGGAGGGGAGGAGGAGGAGGAGAGGAGACGAGGAGGAGGAAGACGAGGAAGGAGGAGGAGGAGAGGAGGAGGAGGAGGAGGAGGAGGAGGAGGAGGAGGAGGAGGAGGAGAGAGGAGGAGGAGGAGGAGTGGGAGGAAAGAGGAGGAGGAAGAGGAGGAGGAGGAGGAGGAGGAGGAGGAGGAGGAGGAGGAGGAGGAGGAGGAGGAGGAGGAGGGAGGAGGAGAGGAGGAGGGGAGGGGGAGGAGGGGAGGGGACGAGGACGAGGACGGGACGAGGACGAGGGGACGAGGACGAGGGGCGGAGGAGGAGGAGGAGGAGGAGGAGGAGGAGAGGAGGAGGAGGAGGAGGAGGAGGAGGAGGACGGGGAGGAGGAGGAGGAGGGGGAGGAGGAGGGAGGAGGAGGAGGAGGAGGAGGAGGAGGAGGAGGGGGAGGAGGAGGAGGAGAAAGACGACGAGGAGGAGCAGGAGGAGGAGGAGGAGGAGGAGGAGGAGGAGGAGGAGGAGAAAGACGAGGAGGAGGACGTCTGTGATCCGGCAGGCGATGGCGACCGCGGGGGCTACGACCGCGGCAGGGCTGGTGTTGGGGGGAACGACGGCCCGGCCACCCTCTTCCTGGGCGGCTTGTCCTTCAAGGCGGAGGAGAAGGACATCCTCGACCTCTTCGACCACCATCGCATACGCGTGGCCAAGGTCGGCGCGCCGCTGGGTTCTCCTCCGCGTTTTCACGTGTCGGGCCCTGGGAGACCTTCGTCTGGCACTGTTTCGACACTGTTTCGACACTCTTTCGACACTTTTCCGGGTGGCTCGAAATTACTTTTGGGATGTGGTCTTTTAGTAGGATGGGAACAACATAAGCCAAGCCAGTCAAACACCAAACGGAATCCCAACGTGTTTTCCGTTCTTTTCTGGAATTCCCATTTGTCCCAACGAACGGCTCCAAGATGGCCTCGGATGCTCAAGCCCAAGGATCGCCCAGGCCTTTCGCGAATACAAAGGCTCAAGGCGACTTCAGACACCCAGGCGTGTGCTTCCAAGCCAAAGGACCCGATCATCCGGACACGGCCCCTCTGACGCGCTATACGCTGGGCCCCATGGCAAGTATAATTTGAGCGCGCGTGATCGTTTTAGTGCCAGTATTTGTAGCAGCTGCACGGACGGAGACGAACCCTTCTCGAAGTGGGGCTCTCGCTTGGTATTTCCTCGGCCTCCTGACCAGACGTGAAAACTTGTGCAGCAGCTACACGGATGGGGCGCTGGTCTTTTTCCCAGAGCGGGGATCTCGGTCAACACTTCGTTGGCCCGTACGATCGTAGCCAGTTCACCATTGAGTAACCACTGGAAGGATACCAGTCTTTTCGTTTTGTTGTTGTTGTTGTTGTTGTCGTCGTTGTTGTCGTTGTCGTTGTCGTTGTCGTTGTCGTTGTCGTTGTTGTTGTTGTTGAACATTATTAATTCTAAAGAATAATTATTGTTGGGGCCCCTGGTGCACGGCCCCCCTGCGCCGCCTAGGCCGCAGCTACATTTTCATCATTTTCGTGAGGAAGCCTCAGGTAATACGATGTCATCAAGATCCGGTTGTTTTGTTGTAATCCGTTTTCCCTTGCAAAAAAACACTATAAAATGACATTTCTTGTTCTAATATAATCAAATTTCAAGAATCCCTTGCAAAAAATAAGGTAAAGTGGACATTCGCGCGCGCAAGACGAAATCCTTCCAAAAGCTAAGTGTTCGGAACGATTTTAACATAAAAACATCAAAAAACCAATGGTTTTTCAACAAAAAAAATGTCAAAATCTCATCCCGCGCGCTCTTGCGGATTCGTAGGAAACCCAACACTTTTTAAACATTTCTGTCAAACGGGCTTTTGCGAGCAACTTTTTCGAACTTCTGCGACAACGGTTGCGCACCTGCCAGGGCCATCATCCCTGTCAAATAATACCATGCGGGACACATTCGTTTTTTCTTCGCGCGCGCACGCCGAAATCTCCAAAAACCATTGGGCTTCTTAAGAATTTTAGCACCGCGCATCATAAAATCACACGAATCGCACCGTAGGCCTCGAAAAACACCTGCACGACTTTTCAAAATTTCTACCCGCGCGCGCTGTCCTAACAACTTCTGTGGGTGTGTACTCCACGCCAGTGTAGTAGCCACGGTCGTCCGCAGGCCACGAAGTGAAGTGTCCGAACGTCATAGGGCGGGAAGCTGGGTGTGGGTGGTGGCGAAGAGTCGTGTGGATATTTGGTAGAGCTTGCACTGCCCCCCCACAAAGTGGGGGTATTGGCTGGCGTCGCATGAAAACCCTGGCACTGGTGAGAACACTGAGCGTTCGGGTAAAGTGATTGTTGTTGTTGTTGTTGTTGTTGTTGTTGTTGTTGTTGTTGTTGTTGTTGAACATTATTTATTCTAAAAAATAATTATTGTTGGGCCCCCTGGTGCGCGCCCCCCCTGCGCCGCCTAGGCCGCAGCTACATTTTCATCATTTTCGTGAGGAAGCCTCAGGTAAAACGATGTGATCCAGATCCGGTTGTTTTGTTGTAATCCGTTTTCCCTTGCAAAAAACACTATAAAATGACATTTCTTGTTCTAATATAATCAAATTTCAAGAATCCCTTGCAAAAAATAAGGTAATGTGGACATTCGCGCGCGCAAGACGAAATCCTTCCAAAAGCTTAGTGTTCGGAGCGATTTCAACATAAAAACATCAAAAAACTAATGGTTTTTCAACAAAAAAATGTCAAAATCTCATCCCGCGCGCTCTTGCGGATTCGTAGGAACCCAACACTTTTTCAACATTTCTGTCAAACGGGCTTTTGCGAGCAACTTTTTCGAACTTCTGCGACAACGGTTGCGCACCTGCCAGGGCCATCATCACTGTCAAATAATACCATGCGGGACACATTCGTTTTTTCTTCGCGCGCGCACGCCGTCGTCGTCGGCCGCGGGGCCCTGAATAGTAGCCACGGTCGTCCGCATGCCACGAAGTGAAGTGTCCGAACGTCATAGGTCGGGAAGCTGGGTGTGGGTGGTGGCGAAGAGTCGTTTGGAAACTTGGTAGAGCTTGAACCGGCCCCCCCACAAAGTGGGGGTATTGCCCGCCTCCTATGAAAACCCTGGCACGGGTGAGAACGGAGTGTCCCCAGTCTTAAATGATTGTTGTTGTTGTTGTTGTTGAACATTATTAATTCTAAAGAATAATTATTGTTGGGGCCCCTGGTGCACGGCCCCCCTGCGCCGCCTAGGCCGCAGCTACATTTTCATCATTTTCGTGAGGAAGCCTCAGGTAATTCGATGTGATCAAGATCCGGTTGTTTTGGTCCCCCCCGCTTTCCCTTGCAAAAAACACTATAAAATGACATTTCTTGTTCTAATATAATCAAATTTCAAGAATCCCTTGCAAAATATAAGGTAAAGTGGACATTCGCGCGCGCAAGACGAAATCCTTCCAAAAGCTTAGTGTTCGGAGCGATTTTTAACATAAAAACATCAAAAAAACCAATGGTTTTTCAACAAAAAAATGTCAAAATCTCATCCCGCGCGCTCTTGCGGATTCGTAGGAAACCCAACACTTTTTTAAACATTTCTGTCAAACGGGTTTTTGCGAGCAACTTTTTCGAACTTCTGCAACAACGGTTGCGCACCTGCCAGGGCCATCATCCCTGTCAAATAATACCATGCGGGACACATTCGTTTTTTCTTCGCGCGCGCACGCCGAAATCTCCAAAAACCATTGGGCTTCTTAAGAATTTTAGCACCGCGCATCATAAAATCACACGAATCGCACCGTAGGTCCTCGAAAAACACCTGCACGACTTTTCAAAATTTCTACCCGCGCGCGCTGTCCGAATCCTAAAAAAACCAATGGTTTTCCAACATTTATGTTACATGAGCTCGCGCGAGCTACTTTCGCACGCTCTTGCAACGGGGTTCGCGCGCCTGCCAGGGGCCACAATCCCTTGCGGTTGCGCCATAGGTTGCGCCCTCGGCCGCCGAGAATAAAACGTCCCCCTATTGGTTGCGCCATAGGTTGCGCCCTCGGCCGCCGAGAATAAAACGTCCCCCTACTGGTTGCGCCATAGGTTGCCCCAGGAGGCCTTCAAGAGGCCCCAAGAGCCCGCCAAGAGGACCCAATAAGCTCCCAATAGTAGCCACGGTCGTCCGCAGGCCACGAAGTGAAGTGTCCGAACGTCATAGGGCGGGAAGCTGGGTGTGGGTGGTGGCGAAGAGTCGTGTGGATATTTGGTAGAGCTTGCACTGCCCCCCCACAAAGTGGGGGTATTGGCTGGCGTCGCATGAAAACCCTGGCACTGGTGAGAACACTGAGCGTTCGGGTAAAGTGATTGTTGTTGTTGTTGTTGTTGTTGTTGTTGTTGTTGTTGTTGTTGTTGTTGTTGTTTTATCAAAAAAAAAACAAGAACAAAACACACTGGGCTCTCGAGCGACTGGCAGGCTCACAGGGTGCTGGTCTCGCAAAAGGGGCGCTTCTTGTAGTGGGAAGGAACGCTCCTAGTGACTCGTCTGGAGGACACTTGGGACGGGGTGGTGTATTGCAGCACCGCTGATGCATCTAGGGCTTTGCTCTGGTCCTCCTCTTTTCTCCCTCTCCCTCCGTTCCTTCTCCTCTCTCTCCTTCTCCCTCATCTCTCCCTCCTCCGTCCTCCATCTCCCTCCCTCTCTGTCTCTGTCTATCCGTCTCTCGGTCTCTCTGTCTCTCTGCCTCTGTCTCTCTCTCTCTCTCTCTCTTTCCTCTTCCTCCATCTCTCTCTCTCTCTTTCTTTATTTCGTTCTATCTCGCTCCTTCTCTTTTTTCCCAACCATCCTGTGGTGTTGGGTCCTCGTTTTGAAGAGACGGTGCCCGCGTCCTCTCCTCTCCTCCTCTCCTCCTCTCCTCCTCCTCCCCCTCCTCCTCCCTCCTCCTCCCTCTCCTCCCTCCTCTCTGCGTTTCACCCACCCATTACAGCGCTTCGTGGCTCCATAGGGAGCTCCACCGAAGGCCCCAGTGGGGGTGTTCGCATGCGGTTCCCCCACCCAGGGCAGCGTTTCGTGGCCCCATAGGGAGCTCCACCGAAGGCCCCAGTGGGGGTGTCCACATGCGGTTCCCCCACCCAGGGCAGCGTTTCGTAGCCCCATAGGGAGCTCCACCGAAGGCCCCAGTGGGGGTGTCCACATGCGGTTCCCCCACCCAGGGCAGCGTTTCGTGGCCCCATAGGGAGCTCCACCGAAGGCCCCAGTGGGGGTGTTTGCATGCGGTTCCCCCACCCAGGGCAGCGTTTCGTGGCCCCATAGGGAGCTCCACCGAAGCCCCAGTGGGGGTGTTCACATGCGGTTCCCCCACCCAGGGCAGCGTTTCGTGGCCCCATAGGGAGCTCCACCGAAGGCCCCAGTGGGGGTGTTCGCATGCGGTTCCCCCACCCAGGGCAGCGTTTCGTGGCCCCATAGGGAGCTCCACCGAAGGCCCCAGTGGGGGTGTTCGCATGCGGTTCCCCCACCCAGGGCAGCGTTTCGTAGGCCCCATAGGGAGCTCCACCGAAGGCCCCAGTGGGGGTGTTCGCATGCGGTTCCCCCACCCAGGGCAGCGTTTCGTGGCCCCATAGGGAGCTCCACCGAAGGCCCCAGTGGGGTGTCGCATGCGGTCCCCCGCCAGGGCACGTTTCGTGGCCCCATAGGAGCTCACCGAAGGCCCCCGTGGGGGTGTTCGCATGCGGTTCCCCCACCCAGGGCAGCGTTTCGTGGCCCCATAGGGAGCTCCACCGAAGGCCCCAGTGGGGGTGTTCGCATGCGGTTCCCCCACCCAGGGCAGCGTTTCGTGGCCCCATAGGTTCCACCCACCCAGGGCAGGTTGGGGTGTTCGCATGCGGTTCCCCCACCCAGGGCAGCGTTTCGTAGCCCCATAGGGAGCTCCACCGAAGGCCCCAGTGGGGGTGTTCGCATGCGGTTCCCCCACCCAGGGCAGCGTTTCGTGGCCCCATAGGGAGCTCCACCGAAGGCCCCAGTGGGGGTGTTCGCATGCGGTTCCCCCACCCAGGGCAGCGTTTCGTGGCCCCATAGGGAGCTCCACCGAAGGCCCCAGTGGGGGTGTTCGCATGCGGTTCCCCCACCCAGGGCAGCGTTTCGTGGCCCCATAGGGAGCTCCACCGAAGGCCCCAGTGGGGGTGTTCGCATGCGGTTCCCCCACCCAGGGCAGCGTTTCGTGGCCCCATAGGGAGCTCCACCGAAGGCCCCAGTGGGGGTGTTCGCATGCGGTTCCCCCACCCAGGGCAGCGTTTCGTAGCCCCATAGGGAGCTCCACCGAAGGCCCCAGTGGGGGTGTTCGCATGCGGTTCCCCCACCCAGGGCAGCGTTTCGTAGCCCCATAGGGAGCTCCACCGAAGGCCCCAGTGGGGGTGTTCGCATGCGGTTCCCCCACCCAGGGCAGCGTTTCGTGGCCCCATAGGGAGCTCCACCGAAGGCCCCAGTGGGGGTGTTCGCATGCGGTTCCCCCACCCAGGGCAGCGTTTCGTGGCCCCATAGGGAGCTCCACCGAAGGCCCCAGTGGCTGCTCTCGCATGCGGTTCCCCCACCCAGGGCAGCGCTTCGTGGCCCCATGGGGAGCTCCACCGAAAGCCCCCGTGGCGCAGTTCGCATGCGCTTCCCCCACCCAGGGCAGCGTTTCGTGGCACCATAGGGAGCTCCACCGAAGGCCCCAGTGGCGCAGTTCGCATGCGGTTCCCCCACCCAGGGCAGCGTTTCGTAGCCCCATAGGGAGCTCCACCGAAGGCCCGCCCCGGTGGCGCAGTCCGCATGCGGTTCCCCCATCCAAGGCAGCGCTTCGTGGCCCCATATGGAGCCCCACCGAAAGCGGCACCCACAACGCGTTACCAACAATTGCTTATGGTTGGGTCTTTCGCCAGGATAATTTTTATTTGTTTTCTCTCTCTCTCTCTCTCTTTCTCTCCCTCGGTGTCTCTCTCGTCTCTCCTCTCTCGGCGGTGACGACGACGACCTTCCCCGAGGACCTAGAGAAGCATGAGGATGAGGAGGAAGGCGACGACCTTCACGTGGTTTTGGGGCAATAGCTCTGGTCTCATTCTGGTGCCCCCAGAAGGCTCTCGTCGAAGCGCAGCCGTTGAAAGGCATCCCCTGGGGCTCAGCAATCTCGGGAACCAGTCGACGTCAGAAACTTATTCCTCCTCGTCCTCTTCCCTCGACGTCGGCGACCACGGCAACGGTGACTGACGACGGCCACGATACGACGACGAGGTCAATGTGTCCACCGACCGCGACACTGGCAAGTCGAAGGGCTTCGCCTTCGTGGACTTGCCAGACAGCTCGCAGCTCGACCGGGCCGTCCAGGCCCTCAATGGTGCGCTCTGGGGTGGACAACACCGCGGGGAGCTCGGCTCTTCGTCTTCGTCGTGGTGGTCGTGGTCGTCGTCGTTGCCGTCATCTTCGGCCGATGGTCGTCGTTCGTCGTGGTCGCCGTCGTTCGTCGAGGTCTTCGTCGCTTGTCGTCGTGGCCGTCGTGATCGTCATGGCCGTCGTGGTCGTCATCGTCGTCGTCGTCGTCGTCTCTGTGGGCGTCGTCGTCATTGTGGTCGTCGTCGTCTCCCTGAGTCAGTCGTCGTCGTCGTCGTCGTCGTCGTCGTCGTCGTCGTCGTCCTCAGACGTCTCATGCGTCGTTGGGGCTTTTCGGGGGGCCCGTGCCGCCGCGCCGGGGGGCCTTGCGCACGCCCAGGAGGTGGTCGGGTCCGTGCCTTGGGCACGCTGGCCTCCGACCCCCGCGCGCAAGCCTGCGCGTGCTCCACCTAGTACAGTCAAAAACCCTAATAAGGACGCGCGACTTTGCTCAGGGTACCCTTGCGTCCTTGCTCTTCCTTGCTCTTGCGTCCTTGAGGTTTTCGTCGTCCGCCGCCCCACAGATCCCAACTTCGGCTTCCAAGGGTCTTGCGTCATTACCGCGCGTCCTTATTAGGGTTGTTGACTGTACAGCGGGGGCCCATGCCACGAAGCACCCTGCTTGCCTCCAGGGTGCCCTGGGTTTGTCTTGGGGTTTTGACGGTTTTGTCGCGGAGAGCGCGACGTCGCCACGCCAGAAATCCGTGGACGCCATGGGGTCTCAGGGTTGGGTTTCTCGTGGAGGGTCTCTTGTGGGCTGGCCTCCACTGTATCCAGTGGCCCAATTCTCGCTCAGGCATCTGCTTGAGGAGGAGGAGGGGCAGGACCGGAGCGCGCAACTCCGTCACGCGCAATTGAATCTGCAGTGCTCTTGACACCCAATGGTCCAGTTCACTCAATCAAGGACCCCACTCTGGTCAAGCAAACACACAGAGTCTTTGGAAAAAAGCACGCAGTGGAACAAACACCACACTATGGAAGCAAAAAGCACACAAACACAATGCTTGTTTTGTTTCCACAGTGCGTGTTTTTGTCCACTGTGTGTGTGTGTGTGTGTGTGTGTGTGCGTGTTTTTCTGTGTTATTGTCGACAGTGTTTTTTCCACAAGTCCCCTCTCGAACCCCCCCCACCTCTAATGCGAGCCGACAGGGAAGACGCGAGCGCCGAGGGAGTCGTCGTCCGTCCGCGTGCCCGCCAGCGCCGCCGAGACGAGCGCGTGCGCGGCGCCCGAGCAGGGGGCCGCCGCCCCTCCCCTTCCTGCCCCCTCGTGCTCCTGTCCTGCCCGTTCTTGCTCCTGTCGGGAGGGGGAGGGGGAGGAGGCGCAGGAGGAGGAGGAGGAGGAGGAGGAGGGGCGGAGGCGGAGGCGAAGGCGGCGGAGGCGGAGGAGGAGGAGGAGGAGGAGGAGGAGGAGGAGGAGAGGAGGAGGAGGAGGAGGAGGAGGAGGAGGAGGAGGAGGAGGGGAGGAGGCGCAGGAGGGGGAGGAGAGAGGAGGAGGAGCGGAGGAGGAGGCGGAGGAGCAGGAGGAGGAGGGAGGAGGAGGCGGGAGGAGGAGGAGGAGGAGAAAGGGAGGAGGAGGAGGAGGAGGAGGAGGAGGAGGAGGAGGGAGGAGGAGGAGGGAGGAGGAGGAGGAGGCGCAGGAGGAGGAGGAGGAGGAGGGCGGAGGCGGAGGCGAAGGCGGCGGAGAGGCGGAGGAGGAGGAGGAGGAGGAGGAGGAGGAGGAGGAGGAGGAGGAGGAGGAGGAGGAGGAGGAGGAGGAGGAGGAGGAGGAGGAGGAGGGGAGGGGGAGGCGGAGGCGGAGGCGAAGGCGGCGGAGGCGGAGGCGGAGGGGTCGGAGGTTGATAGACCTCCTACCCTGACACGTCGATTCAGGAATTGGCCGTTTTCGGTTCGCGGGAGGGCCTCGCGGCCGTCGTTTTTGCGGGCCCAGGTCCGTCGAATTCGGTCCCAGGCCGTTCTCAATGAGGGGAGGTTTACTGAAGGGAGGTTTGTCCACCGCCGATCCTGGTGCCCCCTCGAGGTGTGGAGCTGTGCGGCCGGAGGATGACGGTGGAGGTCAAGGGCGCCAAGGGCGGGGGCGACGTCAGGCCCAGCATGCCACCGCGGCAGGACTGGCGGGACTCGTCCGCCGTCGTCGTCCGCGGCCGTCGGGGATCGAGGGTCGAGGAGGGTTCTGGGTTACAGCGTCGAGGTTCTCGGGCCAAGACCTAGGTTCGTGGACCTAGGTTCAAGGACCCAGGTTGGGAATCCTAGGGTCGTCGTCGCCGCCCCTGTCGTCGTCGTCGTCGTCGTCGTCGCCTTCGTCTTTCGGTGTTCCGTTGACTACCTGGAATGAGATCTGGTGCCTGCTTTTAGTCCTTCCTTCCCCCCTCGTTCTCCTCCTCCTCCTGCTCCCTCCTCCTTTTTGACGTTGCTCGAACTTAATGCTCTCCTCTCCTCATCCTTCTTCCTTCCTCCTGCCTCCTGCACCTGCTCGTCTTCTTGTTTTTCCTCTTATGTCTCCTCCTCTTCCTCCTCCCCCCTCACCCCTCTCATTTCCACCCGCGCGCAGGATGAGGATGATAATGAGGAGGAGGAGGAAGAGGAGGAGGAGGATGAGGAGGATGAGGAGGAGGAGGATAACGGCCAGAGATCAGGACGAGGTGGAGGAGGAGAAGGTGGAGGAGGTAGGGGAGTGGAGGAGGAGGACGACGACGACGACGACCCATGTCCGACGAAGACGACGCCGATGACGGATGTCCGACGAAGACGACGCCGACGGACAACGGCCGACGGACGACGACGACCTCGTCGTTGACGACCACGTCGTCGACGGCGGCAGCGGACGGACGACGCGACGACCGACGACGGCGGCCGATGGCCGCGGGCACTCCTCCTCTTCCTCCTCCTCCAGGACCACGACCGCGGCGGCTCCGATCGCTTCGGCGGCTCCGACCGCTTCGGCGGCGACCGGGACGACCGCCGTGGCGGCGACTTGGGCTCTGGCAGGCCGAGACGGTCGATCGTGGTCGGTCGTTGGTCGCGGTCGGTGGTCGTCGTCGTCGTCGTCGTCGTCGTCGTCGTCGTCGTCGTCGTGTGTGTGTGTGTGTGTGTCTTCCCGCCCCTGGCGCCCCCCCCGCCGCCGCCTGTCTTCGCCCTGAGCAGGCCCGGCTTCTGTCTCCCTCCCGCCGTCGCCGGGCGTTCCTCCTCTCTTCCCCGTGCATTGCGGCCAAATTGCATTCGTATGCCCTGCGCATGCTCTTCCGCCAGCGCAGTCACTCTGCCTAGCCGTCGACATAAAGTGTGTGTGTGTGTGTGTGTGTGTAAGTGTAAGTGTAAATGTAAGTGTAAGTGTAAGTGTAAGTGTAAGCGTAAGTGTAAGTGTAAGTGTAAGTGTAAGTGTAAGTGTAAGTGTAAGTGTAAGTGTAAGTGTAAGTGTAAATGTAAGTGTAAGTGTAAGTGTAAGTGTAAGTTGTTTTGTGTGTGTGTGTGTGTGTTTGTGTGTGTGTGCGTGTGTGCGCGAACCTGGGCGCTGGCGTTGGCGCGGCGTCGAGCCCCGCCAAACCAGAGTCGGTCAGGCGGCGGCGGAGGCGCGGCCGTCGGCCCACGCGGGAAGGACCGACGGCGTCGGCCGCCGTACCGGCGAGCGCACGGGCATTCAAGGCGACGGAGGCAGCCGAGCCCGCCACGTGCACAGCGTGGAGAATGGCTGCGAGGCGGGGGAGGGCCGCGACCCGCGGCGCTGCCATCGTCCTGGCGGATCGTGCGCGGTCGGCGCCTGAGGCGGTTCCTCCACCCCTCGCCTCTGGCGCGCAGTGGTGGCAGTGGAGGCTCGAGGAGCTCGGGCGGGACGGCGGCCCGATGGCACCCAGCGCCTGCCCGCCGACCACGGCGGTGAAGGGGGTGGAGTGCGAGAGGGATTCGGCCGATGATGATGAGGCTGCAGATGATGAGCCTCGTGGCAGCGACCCGTCGGAGTACGCTGTCAAGCACGACGGGCGCGTGCAGCCAGGTGTTGCACAGCAGGACCTCCAGGAGAAGGTCGGGATCGGCTCCGCGGGCCCCACGAGGGAGGTGCATTTCGAGGAGGAGTGCACGCGGGCGGACTCCCAGCGGGTCCAAGAGCAGGAGTCGGAGGCCCAGCATAAGGCTGCATCGGAACCCGCTCTCGCCGAGACGCCGATGCGCGTGGGCGCCCAAGCGGTCTCCGAACAGCAGTCCGACGTCCCCCAGCAGCGTGGCTCCGAGCAGCCTGAGTAGCAGCAGCAGTTCCCTTCGGAGCGGGCGGAGCTCGTGGCGCTGCGGGCCAGATACAACGGGCTGATGGCAGGGGCTCGCGCCGCCTTGGGCGCCAAGTTGCGCGCAGCCCGCGAGGCGCGCGGCAGGCGCTGACGGGCGCGATCTGTCCCGATAACTTTCTCACATTTCTTCTGCCGCGCTCGCGCAGCATCTGCCTCAATGTATTTGTGGCACCGTGCGGCTCGGGACCCATTGGTCTGCCGAGCGCGGTGCCGTGTGCTCGTGGCGCCAGGCGGGTCCGAGGATCACGAATGCCTGCGACGAGCTTGCGAGCTTCGAGGGGAGAGGGACCCCGTGGCGTAGGCCGTGCCCCTCGGGGCTCGGCACACGTCAGGGTTCACTCACTCCTGCCCCTCCTGGGCTCGCTGCGCTGCTCTGTCCGTGCCGTTTGGCATGTCAAGTGGCGCTTGCGTTCTGCAGCTTTGCTGCGTACCAGCCCCCTGTCTTGTGCACTGTTTTCGCGCCAGGGCGGAGGCCGAACCGAGGGGTAGGTGGCTTGCTCCCGACTCTCTGGTTCGCCCCCGGACGCCATCGCAGAGCCAGGTTGTCCAGTGGGCGGCCAGGAGCCATGGGGACTGTGTTGCTGTGCTTTGGCGCGTGTGTGCTGCTGTAGCGGGCTGAGTCGCCGTGACTGCTCGGATGCCGTACTACCGCTTGCTTCGGCTAGGGCGGTGGGCGGCCTGTTGGCACTCAGGTGAATATGCCAGGGTGCGCTGAGGCGCGCGAGACCGAGCGTTGCCGCCGCAGGGCCAGAGGGGAACGCTTCGGTCCGAGGGGCAGTATGAGCTAGGAGCTCCTGACCTCTGTAAACGCGTGGATCACCATTCTCATTATCATCATCATCATCATCATCATCATCATCATCATCATCATCATCATCATCATCATGACGGGGGTCAACGCAAAGGGTTGTCGGCCAGGGCGCCCGATCTTGCGGGATCCTGCTGAGCCAGGGGTGCAGTGACCCGGGCTTGGGCGCAGGATCTTGCAGGATCCCGTAGGATCTTGCAGGACCCTGCAAGGCCTGACTGGCACGTGCTCGCCGTCCCCCCAACGTGCCGATACTATGTGTGCGTCGCCCCCCCAGGGGCTACCGGCGCACCGGCAAATCTTATGGTATACGCGTCCTGGCGGGCGCTGTCCGGCCACCCCGCTGAGGAAACGATGCGCTACAGGATGGGTATGTTACATGTTCGGGTCGGACGCGCGCCTCCAAGGAGGACATCTAGTACTAAGATGTGTCTGTGCGTCCCATGCGAGGTCTGACTGACCCGGGCTTGGACAGACCCGGGCCCGTAGAGCCCCGACGGCTCAGGATGAAAGGCCCGTCCCATTGAGGGGTTTCAGACCTCTTCCTGAACGACGCCGGTTCCCTGCTGGGAAGGCGGCTGGCGCCGCTCCTCAGGGGCAACGATGGGGGGGATGGGCATAGGTGACGGGCATGTTTTCCACCACCACCACCATCAGTTGGAGGGGGGAGGAGTTTCTCCTCCTCCTGCTCTTCGTCCTCCTCCTCGTCCTCCTCCTCTTCGTCCTCCTCCTTGTCCTCCGCCTCCTTCCCCCTTCAACTTATGGTGGTGGTGGTGGTGGTGGTGGTGGAAGACAGGCCAATCAATAGTGGGGATGCATCGACCCCCGCTCGCCAACTGATTGCCGATATGGGCCCGATAACCCCAGCCTGCCTAGGGGAGTGCGGATTCAGTATCGAGGGCACATCGCCGATCTACCAGCGATGCATCGCCGATTCCTGGTCCATGTGCCCCTCCTATTTGCCAGGCCCCCCCCTTATCGTTGCCCCTTCAGCCCTCTCGGCGGTAGGCCGGCGTCGGGCCAGCGGGGGGCAGAACGACAGAGCGAGCGTCGCGAATGCCCCACCCCCCCGCCAATTACACGTGATTTCGGCCGTGTTTTCTTCCTCGTGCGCTTTGCCCACAGGTGGCAGCATCTTCCCATCGATAATGAGAGATGCCCGAACCCCAAAAACCACAATACAAGCGTAGCCTAATTTCGGTCTCCGATTTTGCAGTAGGGATGATCAAGATGGCGTTGCTCGGTTTATACGCTTGCTGAACACAACCCCTATCCCTACTGCGTCCAGCCTCGTAATTTTATGTCCGTTCCAAAAGGTTAGGGATCCTTTAATGGCAGATCACCTTCGTGTCCGGGGTTTCCGTAAGCTGGCCAGCTGGGGATCACCCTTTCGCGCGCGTGCCGTTGCGCGTATCGGTCGAAGAGAACTATGCACATGCACCGATCCTGGCAAGGCCCATCCTTGACCCAGGATCGGTGCATATGCCTTCCTGGCCAAGGTAGGAGGGCGTATGCACCGATCCTGGGCTCAGGATGAACCTGGCCAGAATCGGTGTATGTGCATAGTTTTTTTTCCTCTAGCGTAGAGAGTTCTCTGCCTCCGCGGCCTCCTCGTGCTTTTCCGACGCCTGCCTGGTGCCCCAGGTTGCCGCAGCCTCCGTCGCCGCAGGCGGAGCTCCCTGTTTCGGGCCTAGAGGCTTTTCCTCGCAGCCGCCACTGTGAGGTGCGTGGCCCTGATGGCAGCAACATCGATCGGCCACGCGCAGAGGGGGGGGAGGGGGGAAGGCTTCTAAGAAGCGCCCCTGTCAGACGGCGCGGGCCTCATTTGTAGGTGTAAGGCCGGCGCCTTCTAAGAAGCAGCCTCCATCTAAGAAGCCCCCCCCCTCCACCCCATTTTGCGCGCCGCAACATCCAGCCTGTCCAGTGTGCAGTGAACTTGGCCGCGGCATCAACAGTTCTCCAACACGCTGCCTGGACCGCCCACGTCGCCGCTGCGGCAAGGCACACCGTGGGGAGTCTGGCGTCTGCTGCCAGGCAACCCTCTGGTTCGGGGGCTGCTAAGGGTGCCCCCGAAACAAGGTCCCCCACCCCCCCTCTCAGCTTCTTCGCTCCATGTTGGGGCCGGTGGGGCCATCTGGACCTCGTGAGGGGCCTCCGTGGATATACTTGAGACACCGTGGGCCCACGATCACCTCTGGCAACACCCGGCTGGATTGGGGCCAGCGGCCTGGCGGGCAGCGAGAGAGAACGAGAGAGAGAGAGAGAGAGCCCTGGGGCGGAGCCCTTGCCAGGAGAGGCCAAGGAGCGTCCAAAAGCTTCGACCTCCGAGGCCTTGATCCTAACTTTTTCCCCCTCCTGCCCCCGCCCCTCCTCCCTCCGCCCTCCCCTCCGCCAGGGGGCCGCAGCCATCCAGGAGGAACGATCACCCGACGAGCGCCGAGGGTGGCACCCAGGTGTTCATCGGTGGGCTGTCCTTCCAGGTGCGCGGTCGTCGTCGCCGTCGCTGCCGCCGCCGCCGCCGCCGCCGCCTTCGTCGTCGTCGTCGTCGTCGGGATCCTTGTCGGGGGAGGAGGATCACGATGAGGATGGATGGAGAGAGAGGGAGGGAAGACGAGGGTGAGGAGGATTGACGAGGAGAGGACGATTGGGATTCAGCCGTCATTGTTTTTCCAACCATCCTGTGGTGTTAGGTCCTCGTTTTGGAGAGAGAGCGCCTCGAATTCCTCTCTCCTCCTCCGCCCCCTCCCTCCTCCCCCTCCTTGCCTCTGCCCTCCGCATGTACCTGTTTCGGCATACCCCTCACACGTTTCGTGGCCCCATAGGGAGCTTCACCGAAGGTCCCAGTGGGACCGCCCGCATGCGCCCGCCACACCCAGTACAGCGTTTCGTGGGCCCATAGGGAGCTCCACCGAGAGTCCCAGTGGGACCGCCAGCATGCGCCCGCCACACCCAGTGCAGCGTTTCGGGGCCCCATAGGGAGCTTCACCGAAGGTCCCCAGTGGGGCCGCCCGCATGCGCCCCCCCACCCAGTACAGCGTTTCGCGGCCCCACCGGGAGCACCACCGAAGGCCCCAGTGGGACCTCCCGCATGCGTCCCCCCACCCAGTACAGTGTCGCGTGGGCCCATAGGGAGTGGGAAAGCCCGCATGTGTCCTCCCACCCATTACGGCACGCCCCATCGCGCGTTGCGTGGCCCACCGCAAGCGGCACCCACAACGCGTTACTCACAACTGCATATGGTTGGGTCCTTCGCCAGGATACTTTTTTTGTGGTTGGGGGGGGGAGGGGAGTCTCGGGGCGCCCTCGTCGCCACTGCTGGATTCGCATCGGACTGCTGGTCATGCCCCGCTTCATGCCCTGCACCGCATAGTTTTGAGTGGAGGATGAGGAGGACAAGGAGAAGGAGGAGGAGGAGGAGGAGGAGGAGGAGGAGGAGGAGGAGGAGGAGGAGGATTGGATGGAGGAGGATCCGCATGGACGGACTGATGATAATGACGACGAAGGTACTGATGATGATGATGATGATGATGATGATGATGATGACGATGATGAGGATGACGATGACGATGACAATGATGACAATGACGATGCTGATATTGCTGATGATGCTGCTGATGCTGATGGTGATGGTGATGGTGATGGTGATGATGATGATGCAGATGATGATGATGATGATGATGATGATGATGATGATGATGATGAGGATGAGGATGAGGATGAGGATGAGGATGAGGCTGAGGATGAGGATGAGGATGATGCTGCTGATGATGATGATGATGATGATGATGATGATGATGATGGTGGTGGTGATGATGATAATGATGATGATGATGATGATGATGATGATGATGATGATGATGATGATGACCTTTCACTTCTGAAGAATTATTTAGTGTTGATCCCCCCACCGGTGCATACTGTTTTTTCTCAATTAAAGTGTGCCCCTCGACGCTCGCACCCGTTTTTTTCACAGGGAAAGTTTTTTTGCTCAAACTGTGCCCCTTGCCCCAGGGCTACAACAACAACGGCTCCCGCCTGAGACTTCCTCACAACTTAGCCAGGACCCCCGCTCCCGCCCGAGACGTCCTCGCATTTTATTCAGGAATCGCGCTCTCGCTTGGGACTTCCTTACAATTTATTCAGGAATCGCTCTCCCGGCGCTCTGGAGTCGCGCTCTCGCTGGAGACTTGCTTGCAATTTACTGACGAATAGCGCCCTTGCGTTGGAATTTCTTGCAATTTACTCAAGCGCCGCGCTCCCGACACCCAGGCACACAGGAGTCGCGCTCACGCTTAGGACACCCTCACAGATTACCTAGGAATCGGGATCTCGCTGCCCTTCATGGCCCCGTTGCAGCCCTTCGTGGCCCCCTCGCTTTGTTTTTGTGGCCCCGTTGCAGCCCTTCGCGGCCCCTTGCTTTGTTTCGTGGCCCCGTTGCAGCCCCTCGTGGCCTCCTTGCTGCCCTTCGTGGCCATGTTGCAGCCCTTCGTGGCCCCCTCGCTTTGTTTCGTGGCCCCGTTGCAGCCCTTCGTGGCCCCGTTGCAGTCCTTCGTGGCCTCCTCGCTGCCCTTGGTGGCCCCGTTGCAGCCCTTCGTGGCCCCCTCGCTTTGTTTCGTGGCCCCGTTGCAGCCCTTCGTGGCCCCCTCGCTGCCCTTCGTGGCCCCATATATGTACGCCCGTCGTGGCCCCCGCTCGTTCGCGCCCGTGGTGGCCCCATATGCTTGCCCTTCGTGGCCCCGCTGTCGCCCTTCGTTCCCCCCTCGCTGCCCTTCGTGGCTCCGTTGCTGCCCTCAGTGGCCCCGTCCTTGCCCTCCGCGGCCCAACATACGTATGCCCTTCGTGGCCCCCGCTCGTTTGCGCCCGTTGTGGCCCCATCGTGGCCCCGCTGTCGCCGTTTGTGGCCCCGTCACTGTCCTACGTGGCCCAGTTGCTACCCTCAGTGGCCCCATCGTTGTCTTCTGTGGCCCCGCATTATCTGCCCTTCGTGGCCCCCGCTCGTTCGCGCTCTTCGTGGCCCCATACGCATTCCCTTCGTGTCCCCGCTGTCGCCCTTCGTGGCCTACTTCGTATCCTTCGTGGCCCTGCTGTCGTTCTCTCTCGCTTTCGCTCGTCGTCGTCGTCGCCGTCGTCGTCGTCGTCGTCGCCGTCGTCGTCGACGTCGTCGTCGTTGTCGTCGTCGTCGGGGTCGGTCTCCTGTCCGTCCCTCTTGGGGTCGGGTCGATGGTCCGTGGCCGCCCCGCCGATCAGCGCTGCCGCTGGCCAGGCTGACGGTCCGCGGCCGCCCCGCCGCTTGCCGGGGCCCGGCCTGCAGGGAAGAAAGTATGCCCCCCAAAAGGGGTTCGATCGAAGACGAAGAGGGCGGGTATCGAGGGTTTGGGAAATACGCGTTACTGGACACTCGAGCAGATACCGGCGAACAGTCTTAAAACTATTGTTGTTGTTGCTGTTGTTGTTGTTGTTGTTGTTGTTGTTGTTGTTGTTGTTGATTATGTTGGTGATCATTATGATGATGTTGATGATGATGGTGAGGAGGAGGAAGAGGAGGAGGATGATGATGGTGATGATACTTGTGACTAAGTTGACGACGACGACAACGGTGTTGATGATGCTGCTGATGATGAGGGTGAGGAGGTGGATGAGGAAGATACTGACGAGTATGCTGCTGATGATGACGATCACGATACTGATGATGATGATTTTTCTGATGCTGATGGTGGCGATGATGATACTGATATTGATGATAACGATGGCGCTGGTGCTGCTGATGCTGCTGATGCTGATGAGGATGACGATGATGCTGGCGATGATGATGCTGATGCTGATGCTGATTATGATAATGATGATGACGACGATGATGATGATGATGATGGTGATGGTGATGGTGATGGTGATGATGGTGTTGCTGATGGTGATGGTGATGATGATGACGACGATTGTGGAACTGCTGATGATGATGACGATGATGATGGTGATGATGCTGCTGCTGACGATGGTAGTGCTGATGAGGCTGATGTTGGTGCTGCTGCTGATGATGCTGATGCTGATGATGATGCTGATGATGCTGATTACGATGACGCTGCTGCTGATGATGCTGCTGCTTATGATGATGCTGTTCATGACGATCATGATGATGCTGATGACGACGACGATCATGAGGGTGATGATTCTGATGATGATGCTGATGATGCTGATGATGCTGATGATGATGCTGATGATGCTGCTGCTGATGATGATGATGATGATGGTGATGTTGGTGGTGACTGTGATGGTTTAGGGTGTTGTTGCTGGTGCTGCTGTTGGTGCCGGTGATCTGGTGCTGGTGCTGGCGATGATAATGCTGATGAGGAGGAGGAGGACGAGGAGAAGGAGGACGAGGGGAGAGATCAGGATGAGGAGGCGGAAGGCGAGGGGGGATGGACGAGTGGGAGGATGGATGGTGAGTATGATGATGTTTACCATGATGATGATGATGATGATGATGATGATGATGATGATGATGATGATGATGATGATGCTGATGATGATGCTGATGCTGATGCTGATGCTGATGTTGATTATGACGATGCTGCTGTTGATGATGATGATGGCGCTGATAATGATAGGGACGACGATGATGACGATGATGGTGATGATGATGCTGATGATCATGAGGATGGTGCTGCGGATGGTGATGACGCGGATGATGATGCAGTTTATGATTATGTTGAGTATGTAAGGACGATGCTGCTGATGTTTACGACAACGATGACGGTGCTGATGATGGTGATGAAAATGATGATGACGATTACGATGACGATGGTAATGATGATGTTGCAGATGATGATGACGACGATGATGCTGCTGATAATGATGATGCTGATGATTGTTACGATCACGATGAGGATGCTGATGCTGATGACGATCATGGTGACGATGATGATAATGCTGCTGCTGATTATGCGGCTGCTGCTGATGATGATGCTGATGACGATGATGCTGATGATGACGATGACGATGATGATGCTGATGACGACGATGATGATGCTGTTGATGATAATGATGATGGTGATGATGATGATGATTATGATGATGATGGTGATACTGATAATGATGATGATGATGTTGATGATACTGATGATGATGCTGATGATGTTGATGATGCTGATGATGCTGATGCTGATGATGATGCTGCTGCTGATGATGCTGATGATGATGGTGATGATGATGATTACGTTGATGATGGTGATACTGATAATGATGACGATAATGATGCTGCTGATGATGATGTTGATGATGCTGATGATGCTGATGCTGATGATGATGATGATGGTGCTGCTGCGGCTGATGATGATGATGCTGATGATGACGATGACGATGATGATGCTGATGCTGCTGCTGCTGATGATGATGATGATGCTGATGATGATGCTGCTGCTGATGATGATGCTGATGATGATGATGATGATGATGATGCTGCTGCTGCTGATGATGATGATGATGATGATGATGATGATGATGATAACCCTGAGATCGGGGCGTTGCATCTTTGTGGCAGCGGGCGTTTTCGCCCGTATTCGGGCCTCAGCACCATCACAGATCGAGCGGGCTAGCAAATGTGCCGCAGCAGGATTCGTGTGTTGCTAAAAATGCCCGTGGCCCAAGAGGTGCCCCCAGGATTTCCAGGGAGGCCTTGCTGGGAGGAGGAGGAGGAGGAGGAGGAGGAGGAGGAGGAGGAGGAGGAGGAGGAGGAGGAGGAGGACGAGGACGAGGACGAGGAGGAGGCTGCCGCGTCCTGCGCGGTCGCAGTGGCACAGGGTGGAGCTCAGCGTCGGGCTGCTTCTCCTGTCCGCGGGGGCGGGCCCCGGAACCCCTCGACCCCTCCCATGTGGAGGGTGTTTTGACAGCCCGGGGGGCCTTGAAGATGCGCGTCCAAAGATCAAGTCGGGCCTGTCCCTCTACAGGAGGAGTGCTCAGAAGTAGTAAAAAATTGCTCTGGGGACGATGTGTCTACCATTGTGGACAATTTTTGATGTTCTATATATATATATATATATCGTCCCAAATCCGCCTGTAGGAGGACACGCCCGACCTGATCCAAAGGTCAAGAAAGCGGAAGAGGTCGGCCGTCTCGATGTTCTGTTGCGGCGGGGGTCGGGAGCCTTGGAACGGGGGTCCATGCAAGCGGCGGTCAGCTGGAGCGCTGGATCTTTCAGGATCCTGCAGGGCCAGGGCTTGACCTGACCTGCTCCTCGTCCTCCTCCTCCCCCTCCTCCTCCACCTTCTCCTCCCTCCTCCTCCCCCTCTCTCCTCCTCCCTCCTCCTCCTCTCTCCTCCTCCTCCTCCTCCTCTCCCTCCTCCTCCTCCTCCTCCTCCTCCTCCTCCTCCTTCTCTTCCTCCTTCTCCTTCTCCTCCTCCTCCTCCTCCTTCTTCTCCTCGGCTGATTGACCTGGGCTAGGGCGCAGGATCCTGCAGGATCCTGCGACGCCCGACGGGCCCGAGTGTGGATTGACCCGGGTCAGTGGATCTCCGAGGAGGGCGTCTTGGGTAACCCCATCGGCATCACCCAAACATGCCAATACTGGTGATCTTTTTTTATTAGTTGTTTTGCCGATCGGCGCGGGTCCCCCAACCTCCCCGCCCCTTCCCCCTATGGAGTAGATCTTGGCTGTTTTTTGGCGCCTGTTTCGAGCGGGTGGCTTCTCCCTCAGAGGCAGCAAGCACTCCTGCAAACAGTCGCACTGAGCAGGGGTCTGGAGCCAGACGCCCCCCCCTCCCCCACCCTTCCTCTCAGTGTCGAAGCGCCGAAAAAAAAAGCGCTCCCCTGGTGTGGGTCTGCACCCCATGGGGCAGCGCGCGGGCCGAGAGATCTCAGAGCGTGCGTGCTGCGTGGCGGGCCGCGCCCGCTCGGGACACGACCTATACTTCTGGCTCGGGGCAGACGCGCGCCTCCGAGGAGGACGCACGCAGCGCCTGGCACGTCGCGTGCCCAGTGGAGAAAGAGAAGCAAGCACGACGAAAACGGGAGGAGGAGCAGGAGGAGGAGTCCGACGAGCTCGAGGAGCGGAGGCATGGAGGAGGAAGAAATGAGAACAGCCAGTGCTGCCTGCATCCACGGGCTGGCTGGAGGCTCCATCACGCGCCCCAAGCATCTGCTCTCCTCGCGCGAGGGCAGTCACGGGAGCCCCTTCTGCGTCCCACCGCAGGCCACCGAGGAGGAGATCATGCGGATTTTCTCCAAGGCGGGCCAGGTTCAGGACCAGGGGCACGAAGAGCGGCACAAGCATGGAAGCTCGGAGGTCCGCGTGGATTCCTGGGATCTGCGCCGACCTCGGGGGTGGACAGCCCCCCCATCCTGACACGTCGATTAGTGAATTGTCCGTTTTCGGTTCTCGAGAGGGCGCCGCGGCCGTCATTTTCCAGGCTTGCGCCCGCCAGGCTTGGGCCTGCGGTCGTTTTCACTAAGCCACGTTTTGCTAAAGGGGGCTCTGTCCATCCCCGATTATGTTCATGTCAGTCTTTGCTAGGGGAACGAACAATGACATAAACATAACAACTCGGAGCTCCGCGCGGATTTCTTGGATCCGCGCTGGACCCCCTCCCTGGCGCGCGGAGCGCGCCAGGGGCGGCGCCGGAGGCGCCGCCAGGGGGCCCAAGCGCCGATCCGAGAAATCCGCGCGGAGCTCCGAGTCTTGTATGATGCCATTGTTCGTTCCCCTACTTGTTCCTCGGAGGACATCCGGATCATCATGCACGTTTAACTTATGAGAAAAAAGGGGCCTCTTTCCTTATCTAGGGTTCCTTAGGTCAACGCCCCGACTGTGTGCCAGTTTTTGTTCCCCTGAGGACATCCGGATCATCATGGACAAGGACACCAACAAGCCCAAGGGCTTCGCGTTCGTGGAGTATGGGAACACGCAGGACCCGTGCCGCCCGCCGCGGCCTCCGCGGGCCTCGCGCCCCCTCTCCCTGGAGCGCTGCCAGGCAACTCGGAGGAGGAGGAGGAGGAGGAGGAGGAGGAGGGGGAGGGGGATGAGGACAAGTTAGGTGCGCTCGCGTCAACATCTGACATCCTACCCCTCCCTCCCATCCCTTACCATGGTGCTGATTTTCTCTATCCGCGGACGCGTGTCGTAGCGGACATGTGGCTCCGCGCGCGTGTGCGTAGTGGGTGGTGGTGCGCGTGCGTGCGTGCGTGTGTGCGTGGTTGTGGTTGTTGTGGTGGTGGTGGTGTGTATGTGTGTGTGTGCGTGTGTGCGCGTGTGCTGTGGTGTGACGTGGTGTGGCGTCTTGGTGGTTTGGTGGTGGGCCAGGTGCGTACGTGCGTGATGGCGGTGGTGGTGGCGGTGGTGGTGTGTGTGTGTGTGTGTCTGTGTGTGTGTGCGCGTGTGTGTGTGTGTGTGTGTGTGTGTGCGTGCGTGCGTGCGTGCGTGCGTGCGTGCGTGCGTGCGTGCGTGCGTGCGTGCGTGCGTGCGTGCGTGCGTGCGTGCGTGCGTGCGTGCGTGCGTGCGTGCGTGCGTGCGTGCGTGCGTGCGTGCGTGCGTGCGTGCGTGCGTGCGTGCGTGCGTGTGTGTCTGTGTGTGCGCGCGTGTGATGTGGTGTGACGCGGTGTAGCGTGGTGGTGGTGGGTGGGGTAGTGCGGTGGTGGTGGCGGTGCGCGGTGGTGGTGCGCGTGCGTGCGTGCGTGCGTTGGTGGGTGGAAGTGGCGGTGGGTGTGCGTGCGGCGGGGCGGGGCGTGGTGCGGCGCGGTGGTGGCGGGCGGATGGGCGCGCGAGAAAGAGGCCCGCGCTGGGGCGAGAACGCCATCCTGAACGACGGAGGCAAAACACCGATCCGAAAATGAGGCCCACGCTGCAGCGGGAGCACGATTCGGAACGATTCGGGAACAGAAATGAGGCCGGCGCCTCAGCGAGAGCAGCATTTTGGGAAAACACGCACGGCGAAAACCCAACTCCCGGGAATCCTGTGTGTAAAAAACAATACGCGGGGGGGTCGAATATTCCCAGGACGCCATCAGGGGAAGACGGAGAGTAGTATTCATATGGAGTAATTGTTGAGGAGGAGGAGGAGGAGGAGGAGGAGGAGGAGGAGGAG